TCCTCTAAGGCTTAGACTGCAGTGTAGTGGCCAATTCTCATAGTATCCCTACTGGAGCAATACGTTCGTGAGTCACGGGCAATGATGGTGATTTGGTTTATCTCGTGCCATCCCATTATCGTTATGGAGATCCTGTCTATCATCTGCCCACAATTACCATCCCATCCTAGTGATGGGAGTCCTTTCTTATATATAGCCTCTCTGTCTCGTGTAGAATTCGCAACCGCCAAGTACTGTCGACTCCGCCATTGCATGTCCATTTCAACTGCAAACTTTAAATAGCAAGTGACTGAACTACTTGGGATCAGGCAGTGATTCAATAAGCTCAATCGTCTTGAGATCCACAATCGCCGCTGCATATCGCTCACACATAGCAAACACCCTCTCCTTAGGCTGCAAATCATACGGTGTCAAAATCCATCCCATTCCCGACATCATCGACTTGCGATACTCATTGAGAACAACTGGATCATTGATATCAAGTTTGGGACCACCGAACCTCGACAAATACTCCAGGTAATGCACAATGATAGGTATCTCGTACCGTTTTCGGTCTTCCACCGATAGTGCGCCGACGATGAAGTACGTAAGGTCATGGAAGGGCGAGCCGATGTGAAAGGTCTGCCAGTCGAGGAACTTTGGGTTGCCGTCTCCGTCGATGTACGTGTTTCCGGTGTGAGGATCGCCGTGGACGACACATCTGAAGTCTGGATTCTTGGTGCGGAAGTGTTTCTTCAATGCGGATACGGTGCGAGTGCGGGAGTCCTTGATGATTTCAGGTAGAGGTGGTCGATCTTCGCCGTGTATCTGATTATACCACAACTCCGTAAGACCCATAATCATACCCTCATACGAAGGCTTCATCCAAGGGGACTTGTCGGTTGTGTAGCCCCAAGTACTGGCGTGCAGGCCAGCAAGTTGTTCGACGCCAAGCATGACCATCTCAACAGACCATGTGTGCTCAGGATTTCCAAACTCGTATCCCTGAAGAGCCAAGTCGTCCATGATGATGATGCCCTGCTCTTTTTCCCATCCGGACCACCAGACTTTGGGAACGGAGATAAAATTCAGGTTCTCTGCAACGAGGGAGAAGAAGCGTGCTTCAGTTTTGTACGCGGCAGCGAGGAGGTTCTTAAGCCCCTGATCAGCCATCATGGCAGGGTTGAAACCGCCCTTCACGCAAATATGCTTTGGTCGAAGCGCAGTACTCTCCTCGGAGTACTCGATGGTGAAGAAGAGCTTGCTAGCCGTGGCGTTGAGAATGCTTTGAGTGCATATGATGGATTTGATCCTGTGGCCTAAGGCCTTCTCGAGCCATTCAGGAGTGATCCCATCGGGGGTGGTAGGGTAAGGATGCATCCCGCAACTGAATGAAGAAAAGTTAGTACTGGAGAAGTGATAGATGTTCGGTGCAGTGGTTCTTATGTACCGTCTAGTTCTCGCGCTCCATAGATCGCCCGAGAATAAGGCGTGGGTAGGCATGGTTGTAGCCCACAATGATGCAGGGTCCCTGATAGTGTTGATTGTGAAGTTGTTGGTTCCTAAATCCCTCAGTAAAATTAACGTCGTATGTTAAAAGGCATCGGAATCCACTTACCGTCTTTAACGATAACCGGGGAGCATGCCTGAGAAATTCAGGCCGCGGGTGCAGTGCCGAAGACGATACCATGCAGATGCTGTTGGTTTGTCCCCTGCTTTGTTTGGGTGACCCACAGAAACCGGGGGAGTCCCTGCAGAAGCTCCAAGTACAACGTAACTCACTTCCAACCAACTGACGTTTCACGAAGTAATGCGAGATTGGCATCTGTTGGTTTTCACAAAACTGCGAAATGCATGTCTTTCATGCATTACAAAAGATATCGCCATAACCAACAGGTGGAACCATCTCTATCAGGCAACTCAGCTCCTCTGCGCCGCACAGATTCTGCATATTAGACGACATGCTCTCGCTCCTCAGAAAATGCTTAACTAGTCGGATTTTGTTGTCAAAATGGGTGTTCGTGATAGTTACTACCCTCTGGTTATATCTTGTCTAGTTATCGACGGTATTGCCGTTGGTCTTCGACTCTGGGCGCGGAGGCTGAAGAGGGCTATCGGTTACGATGACATCGTGATGTGTCTCTCCTTTGTGCGTTCTAAGTTCCCTACGCTCGCAGCTATACTGACTATATACAGGTCGGGTTTACCGTATTCTGCGCAATGGAGCTTGAGGCAATACGATACGGCATCGGGGCAACGACGATGGAACCTGACTTCGACCCGATCAAAGCGGCTATGGTACTGTCTTGTAGTCTTCCTCAAACCCCAATTTACTAACGCCCTGGTAGTTCTTTACCACCTCCCAGATCGCCTATATCCTCACTACAGGCATCTCGAAGCTTGGCGTAGGACTCATCCTTCTCCGACTCGCAAGCAGCGCAGATATGAGAACCGTCCGAATAATCCTCGCTATGTCCATGATCATCGTGACGCTCTGGTGTCTAATCACTACGTTGATCTTTGGCCTCCAGTGCCGCCCGCTATCTGTTGCCTGGGGAGTAGGCGAGGGTTCATGTCTGTCGACATCTGTGCTGGGAACAACTGGTCTGGCTCTATCTGGAATGGATGTGACCATCAGTTGGTTCTATGCGGTATTAAAATCTTATCACTACCATAAAGCTGTTTGCTGACGCAATCATATAGCTCCTACCTATCTACATGTTGTATAAGACTCAACTTCGACTCAGGCTAAAAGTCATGATCATGGTCCTCCTTGGGTTAGGCGCCGTGAGCTCTATCGAGATAATCGTCCGACTCAAGTACCTCATCGATCTGAGCCGACTGACCTCTGCCTCTGGTGATCTCGCTACGCAAGAAGCCGTTGAGACTACACTCGAAGGGACGATCTATTCTGTCCTGGAAATTGGTCTGAGTATACTAGCTGCTTCTTTAACAGCACTTCGCCCACTGTTGACGAGACTTCCTGGTTTCGGAGATAGCTCCTCGAAACCAGCTGACTTTGGATCTCTTGTCACGTTTGGAAACCGGAATGATAACAAGGGTCCGGCTTATAGGCTTGAAGATAGGGATGTTTCTGTCGCGGACAGCCAAGAGAATATTGTGCCTCCTCGGCCACTGACGTCTCGCTCATCTATTGTGCCGGAGCCGAGATGAAGCGAGTCAGTAGGAAAAGGCTGAGGCTTGACCAAAAGGAGGACAGCACTTTTTGGGGGAGGCAAGAATGATCAAGAGGTGGAAAGTCAGAATGTCCAACAGAACTGGATGGTAAACCTTGACTGTTTGACAAGATAAGAGGGCTTTACAGGTAGTGGACGATTAAGATTCAAGATTCAAGTCTTTCAATGGTTCCTTTGTAAGAATCGGGATGCGCAGTGTATTGATCCGTTGGAGCGCATATAGTGGCCATAATCAATAAGATATGTAGTTGTGTGTTGTAAACCGAGCCTAGATGGATATATTCCTCTCAAACCCTTCAAAGACCACCCAATAAATAATCATTCAAAATACATGAGCCTGTAAACAGCTCCAGATGAAAAGAAGAAAAAGGAACTCCTACTCAAAATCTCCCCCAAATTCATAGACCAGATCTTACTTGGAGCAAGCCGTGCCGTCAGTGTTTCCGCACTCATTAGTGTCAGTGCACTGAGAACCACAACCGTAGTCGACAAAGTCAGAGGGAGTAGTCTGTTCCCAGTTGTCCATGCACTGAGTTTCATCTCCATTGCCCCAGTTACATCGCTGGCGGCGATATCCCTTCTGGCGCATGACCTGCTGCTGGGTCCAAACAGTATGGCAAGCCTTATCATCCCAGATACAGGCCGTAAGGTCCTGAGCCGAGACACACTTGGACTCAGACTCCGTAGTCTCAAAGCTCACACCGAGACTGATGCCCTCGAGCTCAGCACCAACGCTGGCGCTGATGGTGTTGGAGCGCTCTTGGCAGACTTCCTTTCCGACGAGCTTCGTGGCGGAGCAGGTTTGGGTGCCGGTGCAGTAGATGTCACCGCTGGCCTTCTGCCATGGGGTGTGTTCGACTGAGGTCTCGAGGACGTAGTAGTCGTACCAGCACTTTCGGACTCGGGGGAATTTGTAGGGGTGAGTGACTCTGTCGGAGGTGACATAGGTTCCTGAGCCATCGGTGAAAGGGCCTTCGTAGGTTTTGGAGGTGTCGTCACAGACGGGGAACTTGTTGTCGTCTCGCTTGGCTGGGCTGGCTTGGGCGAGAGCCACGAAGAGCGTAGTAGTGAGAACGTTGTTGAGAAGCATCTTGAATGATTTCGATGGACGAGTGTCGGAGACTGAAAGAGTGTGATTGTAGTTGAATGAATGAATGTGCTTGATGGTGAGAGTGATGTTGATTCGGAGGGCTCGAGATTGACCTTTATAGTTGGGATTCAACTGTTAATGCCCGTCCCTTGAGTCGTTTCATGGGAGGATCATCTTGTAAGATGCCAAGCAGAAAAGCAGTATCGCGAATGCCGAACTGAAGTCCCATAGTCCACCAAAGGAAGGACGACAATCATGCAACTGATCTGCTATGGCCAAGTACAAAGTATCCACATCTGCACCAGCCACAAAGGAAGCGAAATTGCCAAAGTAAGCTGCAAGATCTTGGTCGCCGAAACAAAGCAAGTCTGATGTCTGCAACTGCCGCCTCATCTGTTTTTAATAACCATGTTCCACTCAGAGTTTAGCGAGCATCAAGACATTATTCCCCTATAGAAACTGTTTCCTCCAATCGTTCGTCCGTTGTAACTATTCCATAGTTACCGGCATTAGAGACATGAAGTCTTTAGCGTCCCCCTGAAACCATAGCTCTCAGCCTTAGGATCGACAGCTTACATCGGGCTCCACAAGTTTAATTGCAGATAAGCGGCGACCATAACCGCCAAGATGTGAAATGCCGATTTAACCAAGACATTGGATGGCTGTGAAAGTTAGCCATGTTTCACTCTGGGGAGATTCGACTAAGCGGGCTTTACATGCAGGTACAGTAACATCGAGGTCAGCCAATTTAAACATCCACTCAATGAGATGACTGATTGACACCAAAACAACATTTACCTGTGGGATAGACGATGATCATGGAAACCTGCGGAGATTCACCGCCACTTCCCAAGTCATGCCTTGATGACCTGCTCAACCTTCCCAATATCTCAAGAATGAAAGATGTAAGTAATACCAGTGCCTTGGGCTGTTATAGTACATTTACCCTACAGATATGTGGAACAAGCCGTTGTAGATATTGGATAACACAAAACGTTGAATGAAGATATAGTGGTTACAAGAGCTACTAACAATCTATATCTACCCATCATGATGACAGTTTGTACAATAGTTCATCTTAACCTGACAAGTATTCGACAAATAAGCCGTACCACACTTATTAACCCCATCATTATCCTTCATGTACTGAATAGCATCCTTGATATCCCTACCCTTCATGCCAATACCATAATCATCACACTTCCACTGCACAGTACAACCCGCCTGACCGAAGGTAGCAAGGACGATGATACCGCTCTTGATTCTGGCATAACGAGACACATAGTCTGTGTAGACGACATCATCTTCAAACTGGTTGTAAGCCCGCTCACATGCATCGTCAATGCTATGACATTGACTAGAACCCTTGTTGTTTGCTTCGGTCTCAGTGGGAAGAGGCGTTTCCAACGTTGTAGCTTCACCGACGCCGTGGGTTACTGTCGCTGTGACGGACTTGTAGACGCGGAAGTACTCGTATGTTCGAGAAGGGTACTCAAGGACAGTACCGTCGATCGTCTCGGTGAAGGGTTCAGCGATGGGGGCTTGGGTGACTGGGGCTGCGGTTGTTGTTGGGATGGGAGACGGGTAGCTAGTATAAGCGGCGCAAGCACCGGAGACGAGAGGTGCGGTTGTGACAAACTGCTTGTCGTTGGTTGTGGTTGAGCATTGGCAGTAGGGTTCTTCGACACGGGGACCGCCGTAGATG